CCCTCAGTAGCTACTGTTTGGATTAAATCTGTTTTTGGAAAGCACCCTAACAAGACTAAAGCAAGTGTATTAGTGAGAGAACTTGTCTGTAGATACACTGACTGCAGAGACCTGTTTAAATACATTTTGTTCAGAATAAACTCAGGTATATAAGAACTAGCAATACTTTTTGACTTGTTCTTGACTATACTGAAGATTGTATGAAATACAAAGAAGACATTTGCTGGTTCAACGAATTCCAGAAAGAATGATCTGCAACACTTGCATTCTCAACATCTCAATATGCGTGTCTCATTTTTAAAATATATAAATATTAAACAGAAAACTGAAAACGTAAAATAAATGAAAGCGTTACAGACTTCCCTAAGAAGAAGAACATAGTATACTAAAACAGATAATGCCAAGAGGTTACAACGCTGAAAATGTTGGAAGCCCCCTGCCCTGCCCTGATGGCCTGAATAATGCTTCCAAACCAAATAGCTGGGCATTTTCAAAAGCAAAATGATAACGGGATAATAATTATCTTTCAGTTGCTATAAGAAGCTAGTTACCATCTATTTCCTAACTGGAAATCAATTTTTTATCCAGTACCAGTAAGAACAGCCACTGTGATTTTGTCAGCCCTCTGAGCACTTTCATATCAGCAGGACAACCCTGTGGAAACACAGCTATCCCAGAATCGTTTCTGAGCTTAGCTGGAATAGGGAATATACAACATCAATTTATGGATGTATTTTGAGAGTATGCTTTTTATTTTGATGTAAGAATATTATGCAAAAGCCCCCTTTCTATTACACTCATCAAAATCAGTCAATAGTAGATTCCTAGTTTTCAATTTCCAGATACATATTTAATGGTTAATTCTCTCACCTTGCCATAAAAAAAAAGTTACTACATAAAATATTAAAGGTCAAAGAAAATATCTTCCAAATACACCAGCCTCTTTCACAGACAAAACAGCAACTGGCATTTAAAGTTGTATTCTCTAGAGACAGATTGAAAGACAGGAATGAACTGTATTCAATTTTAATTTTTAATTAATTCATTTATGTATCGAGGTGTTAGGTTTTCATTAAAGTTAAAAAAACATGTTTATTAATAATTGAATGATTTAAATGTATCGATGACAAGCTTTAATTATGGAAATTAATAAAGGAAGCTAGTGATGTGTAACTCAAGTCAGTCTCCTACAGAACATAAGTAGCTCTAAAAAACCATTGATTGAAAAGCAAATTAGAGAGAACACTAACATAAAATCCAAGAGGATTTAATCCTAACATCTTTTTTATTATTATTTAATTTATATTGTACTTTGTTGATCAAATTTTTCAACATGCATATTTAACACAATGTACTGGTGTGGCCCTGTGGGTTAATGCACTGGACTGCAAGGTCACTTTGAACCGCAAGGTCGCTGGTTTAAGCTCACCAGCTGCTCCTCGGAAACTCTATATAGGGTCACTATGATTTGGTACTGACTCAACGGCACTTAACAACAACTTTTCATATTGAGGACTAAGATTTGACTGACCGAAGCCATGGTATTTTCAATAACCTCATATGTATGTGAAAGTTGGACTGTGAATAAGGAAGACCTTAGAAGAATTGATACACTTGAGCTATTGTGTTGGAGGAGAATATTAAAAGTACCATGGATTGCCAAATGAACAAATCAATCTGTGTTGGATTAAGTTCAGCCAGAATGTTCCTTGGAAGCCTGGAAGGTCAGACTCAGTCTCTCATACTTCAGACATATTATCAGGAAAGACCAGTCCTAGGAAAGGATATCATATTTGGTAAAGTGGAGGGTAGGAGAAAAAGAGGCAGACCCCCAACGCAATGGATTGGCACAGTGGTGGCAGCGACAGGCTCAGGAGTAGCAACAATTGTGAGGTTGGCCCAGGATGGGGCAGTGTTTCGTTTTGTTGTGTATAGGGTCTCTATGAGTCAGTGCCAACTCAATGGCCCCTAACACCACAACCTTTCATATTGAAATACTTCTAATACTGTTCCTTAAAATTGACATTTCCTGCTAGTTATCACAGTATGTAATATGTAAAGAATACAGAAGTATTTTTATTTTTCCATTGAATGATGCAACACACAAATGTTCACAATATATATTCACATACAACCTTTTCCTCTCTCATCTCATTTACTATCAAAAAACTGGTGAATCTAGAAAAACTGCTTTAATCATTGTATTCTGTTGTTGTTGTTGTTGTTGTTGTTGTTGTTAGGTGCCGTCGAATCAGTTCCTACCCATAGCGACCCTGTATGCAGGGTTTCCAAGGAGCGGCTGGTAAGCTTAAACCTCCAACCTTGCCGATCAAACTGATTTTGCAGTCCAGCACATTAATTACTGATTTAGTATCTCTTTTACACTCTAAAGCATCTTCATTATGCTGCTTGATGACATAGACCCACAGGAAGCCTGTGCTGCCTAAAGTCAGTCCAACTTCCAACCAATCAGGTTTGCTATTTGGCGGCATAGGAACACAGAACTTTGACCTCGCTTAAAGGCCTCCAGGTAGGGGCACAGAACGGCGGATGGCTTTATCTTGCTTGCCAGGCTCGCCTGACTTACCTTTTATAAGACATCTTATTAGGATTCTCTAATTCTTCTTTTACACAAACTTCCCTTCCATGTTGTTGATACATGCCGTTGAGTCAGTTCTGACTCATTGTGAGCCTGTATAGCGTTTCTGAGGTTATAAGTCTTAGCGGAAGCAGAAAGCTCCATCCTTTTCCGAGTCTCTGTTAGTAGGCTCAAACTATCAACCTTGTAGTTCGCAGTCCAGTGCTCGTTCTACAGAGCTACCACTCTCCCTGCCATAGTGCTTTTCTGCTTAAAAAGGTTACTTTTCAAAAAAAGTTACTTCAAAACATTTATGGTGTAAAAAGACCATAAATTACAAAGCTACATTTCATTTTATTGAGGCGTTGTTGTTGTTAAGTGCTGTCGTGTTGGTTCCGACCCATAGAGACCCTAGACAAGGTTTCCGAGGAGTCTCTGGTGAGCTTGAACCGCTGACCTTGCAGTTCAAACTGACCTTGCAGTCCAGCGCATTAACCGACAGCGCCACACCAGTATACATACATATATATGTAAGTAACAGGTCTAACACTTATCAAAGTAAGAATTGTTGCTGTTATTAAGTGCTGTCAAGTCAGTTCGGACTCATAGCTACCCAGTGTAGGGTTTCTGAGGGGCAGCTGGTAGATTTGAACAGCCTTTATTTAATCACATATTAATAGAAGAAAGATGAGGCTTCCTGCTCTGGCAAAGATTCATAGCCTCAGAAACGGTATACAGGGTCGCAATGAGTCAGAAGCTACTCTATGGCACTTAATACAACATTCACATATCAAATACAATTAATCATGTCAGCATCATTTACCAGGATTGTCATGAGCCACACATTATACCATGTACTATTTACATAATATGATTTAATTCTCTTCATAATCATATTATGTAAATATTATGATTATCCTTAGTTTTCAGACAAGGAAATTGTAGTTTAGAGAGATTAATTACCCAAACAGGCTCAAAACGCTGCTCATAAATCCTGAAATCTTCTTCACGCATCCTGGAAGCTTATAGAATCCTGAATATTATTGTTAAATGCTGTGGAATCAATTACAACTCATAGTGATCCTAATTATGAGGTTATTGTCAGGTTTCTGAGGAGCAGCTGGAAGGTTTGAACCACCAACCTTGTGATTAGCAATCCAGTGCTTATCCTACAGTGCCACACCAAGGTCCTGAATAGTTTTTTTTAATATTTATTTATTCATTCATCCACTCAGAAAATGTTCATGAAAGGCTTTCTAAGTGCCAGGCACTCTCTAGAGTCCAGAGACACAGTGATGATAAAACAAAACCCCTGCCTTTATGACGCAAACATTCTGCTGATATAGATCATCAATAAACAAATAAATAAAATGAGATGGTACTAAGTATTATGAAGAAAAATACCACAGATTTATAGGATGGAGAAGGTTATGGGATCTGCATAGTCCTACACTTACAGTAACTTTAGAACCCACTTACCATTCCCTACAACTTCTTCTCATCAGTTCTTCATCCTCATCCTTTACCCCACTTCCTTCCTTTCCCTTCCTCACCTCCAACACCAAAAACTAAAAAGTAATATTAAAATTCCAAGTGTAATTTGTGGCTTAGCATCCCAGAAGAAATGCTAGAATTAAAAAGAGAAACACAATTGAAGAGAGTAGAATGAATGGATATTTTCTACCCATCTTAAAAAGGATAATTCAAAATCATTTTTAAAGTTGTTGCTGTTTTTAAGTGTTGTCGAGGCAGTTCCAACTCATAGTGACCCTATCTAGGGCTTACAACGAAAGCTTGGTGGGTTTGAACTGCCAACCTTGTGGCTAGTAGTCCAGTGTCATACCAAAACTCCATTTTTAAAATAGATAACCAAAATTTAATAAAATAATTTCAAAAACTACTATGATAAATTAGTTCTACCACTTTTCATGTCTACCATGCTTTTAGTGGATAAAGACCTTAGTATGTTTTTACCATTTTTTTATCAACAGTTTTACGACAATTCAGGGTCTCTGGAAGAAATCCCTTCACTTTGTCCATGGCTTGGACAATAAAAGCCACCCACCAGTGAAAGAGAATAAGCCCAGGACTACCTGGGCTATCCTCCATCAATACAAACTCATCATGTAGACACTCTGAAAGAGTAAAGCTAGATTAGAAATGTTAGGCCACATCCTATACATATGTAAATCCTAAACATATGCATTCCACATGACCTTATAAGAAACCAACTCTAGGGTTTTGGTGACATTGTTATTGTTTTAATTTTAAGAGAAAGATTGTTTTTAGACTTTGACTATAATTTTATAGTAATTTCTATGCCAATCCAGAATATATAAGGCATAATCAAAACTGTATAATAACTATTTGTACAAATAAAGCATCTTGGTGAACTCAACAGCACTACATCCATGAGTCTTACCTCTGCAGCCAGATAGTTCCCAGTTGCAAGATGTTTAAATCTGAACAAGCTGTTCCACTGCCCTGCACCCCCACGGCATGGGTCATGATGAACCACCTACAGACAAAGAGAGCAAGGATGATAATGGCTAGCTGTTATTCATCTTGCCAGCAAGCAAATGCAAACACTTTATACATGCATGCCCTCCTGTTATATCTAATATCTGTTTCTATGAGAGTACAATGTGACAGAAAAAACAAAATTCCCCATAAAAGAAGAGAGATACTTTATAATAACAGTTAACTCACTGTACATACATGATGCTCACACTTTACATCTACAAATGCAACCTCACTCCTAAACACATGTCTACAAGACCCAAACTTGGAACACTCTGGGGTTTCTCCTCATTCTCCCCCATTCATTCAACAGATTGTAATAAGAGCCAATTATGTGCCAACTACTCTTCTAGGCAATAAGGACACAACAGTGAATAAAACTAGAGTGTAAACTAGAAAACAAACAAGATTTGACAAGTGCAAAGAGGGATATAAACCAGTTGAGTAACTAAGGAAGACTACTCTAGAAATAGTAATCAGTACAGACTGCAGTGAGGAGATGGTATGTTAGCTGAGACCTGGACAATACAAAGGCGCCAGCCACACAGAGAGATAGGAAGAGATTATAGGTGGAGAAAACCACAAGAGTCTAGAGTGTCTGAGCTAACTTAATCCTTGGCCTTTCATGGATGCTTTCAACTAGCACCGTGCTCTTTGGTGCCTGTCTTTTCAACTAGTGCCACTCCTGGTGCTGAGCCACTGGGCAGAACTGGGAATGAAATAAATCTGACATAGTTGGTGATCACAACTGGTATGGCAGAGTAGACAAGCACGGGTTTTCCAGTTAGAAGACACGTGTGCTTGAGCTCCAACTCAACCATCTACTATGGTCTGAATTTAGCAAGTAGCTTAACATCTCAGAGCCATGTTTCCTCATGTACAAAATGGAGTTAATTCATAAGACTGTTGTGAAGGTTAAATATCATTGGGCATGTCCAAGTACTAAGATTATTGTTGCTGTTAAGTGCCATCGTGTCAGTTCCGACTCACAGCAACCCTGTATAGGGTTTCCAAGGAGCAGCTGGTGGCCTTGACCACCAACCTGGTGGTTCAAATCGACCTTGCAGTTCAGTGCATTAACCCACAGAACCACAACAGGACTCTATTGTCCCTCAACAAATTATGTTCTTTTTACTGGAATTGGGCTCCTGCTCCAGTCTGAAATTCTGGATGTTAACATTATCTTTAAAGTCCACTGTTTCATGAATTTTTTTAAGCCTATATATATCTTTCTAATCCCTTTACGGCTTCCAGGTTCTCTGTCGTCTTCTACTCTCACAGGTCAAATATAATAAGAACTACGAAAATACCTCAAAAACAATGAAGTCAAACAAAAATGCGCCCCCTTCGGCTGAACGGTCCTTTGAGGTTCAGCTCTCAAATCTTTCTTCCTCAAACCCTTTGCTAATCACATAAGTCACTGTGAGCTTGTCCATATTTGAACCTGTACTTCTTCTCAGGGAGTCATGGATAATTTGAGAGTCTGATCTAATCTCTGTGTTGTTATACACACAAATTTTGTGTATAACTGCTTCTTGTAATTGTTAAGTGCCATCGAGTTGGTTCCGCTCATAGTAGTAACCCTGGATAGGATTTCTGAGGAGCAGCTGGTGGGTTTGAACCATCAACCTTGCTATTAGCAATGCAGTGCTTATCCTATAGGGCCACACCAGGACTCTGTATAATTGCTGTTGTTGTTATTATGTGTTGTTGAGTCTGTTCCAACTCATACTGATCCTGTATAGGGTTTCCAGGCTTTACATCTTTGCTGAAGCAAAAAGCCTTGTATAATTGCTAGGGATTAACAAATAATGAGAAGCCCATGTGTGAGTCCCAAACTTAGAAAGCCTATCCTATATATTAGTGGGTCTAACAACGATATCATACCCTAGGATACATTTTGAAGATAGGGGAAAGGGAGAGTTGTTGTTCTTCTTAGGTATCTTCATGTCAGTAAACCACCCTATAGAGCTTTCTAAGCTGTAATCAGCAGACCTTTAACCTGATGAACAGCTGGGTGGATTAGAGCTACCAACCTTTAGGTTAGCTCTGAGCACTTAACTGATGCACCACCAGAGTTCCTTTATAGGGAGGAGAAGGTTTATTTAGTTATCACAATGACTTTGAAGGGTACTATTGACATCTAATGGGCAGTGCTTAAAAGTATTATATATTCTGCAGTACATAAGACAGTCCAGTATGCATCAGGTACCATGTTGGCACTCACCACCATCTTTACCCTGCTAAGCTTTCCCCTGTATCACAGAGACTGAAGATTCCTTCACCAGCAGAGCTCTGGACAGCATTCCCATGAGAATGGAAGCCAGAGGACAGGGACAGTTGGCAGAGGCTTCTCTTTGGGCTCTGGTAACATTGGTAGCAGTCGGTAAGTGTAGGCTCCCACAGGCTGGGGTTGGCAGAGGACTCCCAAGGGGATGAGCCAATAGCATAAGGTCGACAGTCTCAGAGAAGGTACAGAGTGGTTCCTAACAGGGCCTGATCTCCAGATAAAACCCCTACACCACCCTGTATTTCCTTCTCCGGTGTTTTCAGAAATGTCGAAAACCATATTCTATATGAAATGCCTCTTTGCTTGACACACCTCAGTAATTTCTATTTCCCGGCTGAAGTCTGATAGAACACATTCTAAAGAAAACTATAATATACTCACAAATAAATATAAATTATCTCTAAATGTTGAAATACACATTATTTCATTACATATATATGGGGGCTTCAAATTTTCATGGAAAAATTCTGTTACCTTTTAATTCCATTTTTCTACAAACTTTTTGAAGCCCCCTCATATATGGAACGAGAGAGAGATGCCCCCAAGAGAAGATAAAAGAAGTAGTATCCTTTCAAATTAGTCACAAAAATAAAAGAGTAAAAAATGTTGATTCAAAAAAAACGATTCTGTCTTGGTCAACCATTCTACGATCAAAAGGACAGCAGTTGCCTAAGGACAAAGTTCAGAAGGTTTGGGAAGGAGATAGAATGGAAATAAGAATCTCAGGGAGAAAGTGGGGTAATTGACATTACAAGGGATTGCAATCATTGAAACGAACAAAGTGTGTGATTTGTTGAATGTAAAACTAATGATCTGTTCTGTAAACCTTCACTCAATTCACAATAAAAAGTTTTAAAGAATGATTCTGTCTTATGTGTCCATCATAAATGATGCCTATATATCAATAACACTATATCAATCAAAAGTCTTCGCCTTTTGAGCTAAATATTTATTAAAAGCCAAAAATATTTACGCACCTCTATTTCCCAGAGTGCCTTAGAACTAGTAGCAGAAGTGGCTGATTGACGCAAAGTTGTACGAAGGAAAATGTGCTGTTTTTTCTCATATTCATCACAAGTCAGAAACTTCTCTTGCTCTGCATGAAACAATCTTACAACATCACCCTAGGGGAGAAAAAAAGCCCAGAACTCTGTATTTCCAAACAAATTAAGAATGTACAAGCATAAGGAGCAGGTCCCTCTTTCTGCTGGCTGCTTAACTGAAAATTATAATACATATCAAAAGATGGGGAGAAAAATTATGAAACAGCACTGATTACACAGGTTTTGCACCTACAAATTCAACAAAACTACCTTTAGTTCTGTCAGCAAATTTTCTATGTAGTGCATACTTACTCCTTTTAATACATCTTCTCGATAGGAACTATATTTCATGAATAAAGTGATTTTCCAACTAGTGTTGCAATTAACAGCATTCACCTAGTAATAAAGAAATGTAGAATTATAAAATCATAGATAACATACTATTCTAGAAATTATTAAACTAGTAGAAGAAGAATAAAAGATAACTCTGGACAGTGAATTAAGTATTTCCATATAACAAACTTCAAGGGATCTTCAGAAAATATCAGTAGTAATCATTGTCTACAACGAAAAAAGTAATTAGACTTTTTAGTTTTCCCTCTCATGAGAAAAGTCCAGAAATTCATTCTCTTCCCCCTTGAATGTACCTCTTTGCATCCTGGGTTATCAAGAAGTTCAATGTTGCTGGCATGTAGTGGTTGCCCTGCATTCACTGGCATCAAAACGACTTTGTCTCCTACAACAATCTAGGAATCAAAAAGAAATTGCCATTGAGATACTGCATGGATCTTTACTGCTAGATTTAAAGTTCAGCATAACTATACAGAAGTCATGCTATTGACCTCACGCCTGGCCTGTTTATCCTCCATACTCATTGTAGTCTAATTCTTTTTGTCTTTCCAGTGAAGTATCTTCTGATAAATGATCATAGAACCATGCCCCACTGTGCCTCTCAGCCTAGATTTATAAAAGCTAATGTCGATTTTTTTTTCTTAGTAGTTTCCCATTCAGTAGAGCCTTCATTTCTGATTGAATCAGTGATTATTCCCCCCACATGAGGTCTTATGACATGAACATACCAAATATAGAGAGAGAACATATCACATACACACACACACACATATACACATTTACCTATATGGTAGAAGACTTCAACTGAACATGGAAAATATTTTACGTTTGTATTCTCCCTGTTTGTTACTGTTGTTAAGTACTGTTCTGACTCATAGCGACCCTATAGTTTCCAAGGAGCGACTAGTGAGTTTGAACCATCAACCTTGTGGTCCACTGTTTTATCCCACAGTATCACACAAATATGGTAAATTTGAACTCCCCTATAATTTCAGAAATTTCACTAAGCATATTCTAACAACGTGGATTTAGAAACTAAAAAACTGGGTTTAAGCTTGTAGAAATATGTTCATTATTTAGAGTTTGGGCATCTGGCTTTCTATCTTGTTAAATGCTGTTGAGTCAGTTTTGACTCATAGCTACCCTTTATAGGACTTCTGAGGAGCAGCTGGTATTTACCTTGTGGCTAGCAGTCCAGTGCTTATCCTACAGTGCCACACTAGGTCATTTTTTATTTTTTGATATTAAACACCCAAAAATGATATTACTCCTTAACCTAGTATTCATTGTTGACTAAAAACTAAAATTGATTATGGGAAGAGTAAACAAAGAAGCTCAACGTGATTGAGCGTCTGTGTATTATTAACCAGGCCCACTTTATCTTTGAGTTTTTTAATTCATAAATCAAATTATGGTATTCATAAATCAAATCAAGGCAGTTATGCTTCATCGCAACCCTGTATAGGGTTTCCAAGGACTACAGGAACGTAAGACTATGCTTTCTAAATTATATTAATGAACAGTTTAATTTTAAAATGACAAAAGTTATTTAGGGAGCTTAGTAGCTCCACAGGATAAACACTGGACTACAAACCACAAGGTCGGTGGTTCGAGCCCACCAGCTACTCCATGAAAGAAAGGTAAGGCCTTCTGCTCTCAGAAAAATTTACAGTCTCGGAAACCCTACACAGGGTTGCTATGAGTCAGAACTGACTACAAGACACTTAAAAACAACAAGAAGTTACTTATGTTGCTAGGTCTCATTAGAAGACATACTACTATTGTTGTTGCCAAATGCCACTGAGTCAGTTCTGACTTATTGCAACTCTATATGAGGTTTCTAAGGATTGGAGTTTAAACTGCCAACTTTGTCGTTCAAACCGACTTTGCAGTCCAGTGCTTTATTCCATAGCGCCACACCAGTACCTGCATTCTAAATTATAGAACTGCTCATCATCTGACAAATGGAAACAGATACATGCCATTAGCAGCTACTTTTCTTTTGAAGCAGCACCTGGTATGGTGAAAAGAATTTTTCAGTGAGAACCACAAATCCAGTGTTCTAGTCTCATCTCGCCTATATATTCAAGACATTGAGCTTTCAAAACAGCAAAAACCACTTGCTATCTGAAGAAGCTCTTTTCCTATAACTTAAAAATTGTCTCTTGACGACCATAATAATTTAAATAATATCTCTTACTGAGGCTTTCTGCTCCCGTAAAGATTTACAGCCTCGGAAACCCTGTTCAGGGTCACTATGGGTCAGAACCAACTCGACGGCACTTAACAAAAACAACAACAACGGATCTTATCTTAGCCGTAAATCTACCATCAAAGTTAAAAAAAAAAAAAAAAAAAAAGGTGTCTTTTTAAATTGAAAATGAAAAATGAACTACTCAACCAGAGAAAAAAGATAAATGAATATGAAATATTTATATATTCTGCTCATTACTATCCCTGGTGACTAATTGTTCAATAGCAAGCATGGCTTTCTATACAATTAACAGATGAGAAGCCATGAATCCACTAATCTTTTTTTGTCCATAACTATCCATTCCAAAGTCCTAAAGACAGATCACACAGATGCTTCTGAAGTGTCTGGAACCATTGGTTTTCGAGCATCTTTCTCCCAAGACTGCCATCAGCTTCATTCTTACATGTCATATAAGACACAGAATAACTTTTGGATACTTACAACCTAAATCATAATTTAACATTTTAATTGCTTAGGAGTTCAATATAATTTAGGTCATCAGCATCTTTCCATTTTTTTCTTATTTAAATGAAATGCATTTAAATGAAAATCAGTAGAAATAGAAGCACTCACTACAATACAACAGTATTTCCAATTGCCTTCAACAAAATACATTGTTGGTATTTTAGAAGAATGCCCCCTATTCCTAGAAGGGAAAATGAGCATTACAACACAATTACATATGTGGCAAATATAGGGCTGTGGGTGTGTTTGTGTTTTCACAGCAGCTTTAATCACAGACAAAAGCCACACAGTGGTGAGTAAAAGAGTGAGCTATTTCAGCAAAAAGCAACGTGGAAGGTTGTCTTAGCCATGCTTGACAGGGCACACCTATCTAAAGAGGACTTCTATATTGCACTTTAACAATTATGTTGTCCAATTTGACCAAGATACAGTGTTTTGGTGTGCTTTCCCCCCTCGTTCCACCCCCGTTAAAATTATTTGAAATAGTTCATTACATTCAACTCTCTGTGACTCTGTAAAAGCATTTGAGAACATGGAAAGAAAACCGAATGAATTCATAAAATCCACAGCTAATCTAAAAGCTTCGTGCCTCCAATCGTTTAATGTTATTCCTTCAGAGTATGAACTCTCAGGTTTTGTGGGTTTGGGATGTTTGATTTTATCGGCCACCTACAGACAGGACCCTGACAGTGAGGAGCCAGGGAGACAAACAGGCAAAATAAGAGTGTGCCTCAAAGAATCTGGGGGTTCACAACCTGCATAAGCAGCCCCTAAATAATTGAGAGTTGATTATAATTAACTACCTACTAAACAAACAAACAAACAAAATACCACACTCACAGCACATATCATTTGTGCAACAAAAAAACAGTGTACTTTTTTTTTTTTAAAGAAATCCAACACAAACCAAAGTGCATTGAATTCCTGCGTGCCATGCTTCTCTCCAACCTTACCTAAGGAGGCTCTCACCAGATAATCTATTAATCAAAACAAGCCAAGAAGCTTGCATCCTGTGGAATTGAATTTGTACTTCAAAAATCACTATACTTCAAAAATAAGTGCACTATAAAAAATAAGACTTTTTTTAAAACAAGAAATATCTAAAAGTGCATATGAAAATTGCAAACAAAGTACTGAGAAAATTCCATCAGAATTATACTTTTACATTATTTTTAATTAATGTCAATAAAGAAATTTTTTTAAAATCCTCAAATAATGTACTTCATCAACTGATCAAATATTTGTAAATTTTCTGTTTATGAAAGTCAGTCAATATTCAGTGTCCACCAGCTAGGAACTATCATGCATTACTTATTTATTATACACAAAAATATTAAACTACTATTGACTCATTTCACATGATTCTTCACTTCCAGCAGAAAGTATTTTAACAACTACTAAGAGCTCTGGTAGCGTAGTGGTTACAAATCGGGCTGCTAATCTCACGGTCATTGGTTCAAAACTACCAGCTATTGTGCAGGAGAAAGATGAGGCTTTCTGCTCCCATAAAGATTTACAGCCTCAGAAACCCTGTACAGGGTCGCTATGAGTAGGAACCAACTCCGCGGCACATAACAACAAAGTCTACATGAATCATACTTAACACGTATTTTAAATATATTTTTCATCCAGATCAACTGATAAGCAGATAGCAACTAACAGCTTCTCATAGGTACACATCAATTAAAATATGTAGACTATAAACAGCTCACAATAGAGTCAGTTAAAAGAATATTGTCACATTTGCTACCTAAAATGAGGGGGTGATAAAGGCACAAAGTGACTAGCTTACAAGGTTTCAAGGAAAAGTTTATCTTAATAGTGTGTGGAGGAAGAAAGAGTTTCCACTGAATAGTTTTCATCTTGTCTAGATGGGTCTGGTTAAAAGAGATGGGGATATGATTCAATAGTGAGTAATTGTTATCATGACTAATTGCGACTCTCATAATTGCAAAGGCAGAAGTTTTGTAACAAAAACAGGGGAGTAGTTATTCTTACAGTCCAGAAACAAAAGGACCTTAGGATCATGAAGGGAGAAGAGCACAAGTGGAATGCAGGACCTTATCCAGAGAAGCAGAGACACCAGAGATGGAGGCACAGATGAGGACAAGGAGAGAGGGAGCAGCTGAGGATTCTAGATTCATGGGAAGAAAGGGACTAAGAGATAGCAGCCAGGAGGCTGACTTGTAGAATGTGCCTTTTGGTGGTACAAATTATTATATACGCTTGAGTGTTCAAAAAAAAAAAGCTAAAGTGAATAGAGAGAAATACTGTTAACTGATGGTACATGGTGGGGCTTATAATCATTGTAATGAAACAAGGTGTATGGTTTGTTGAATGTAATACTGATGATGTGTCCTGTAAACTTTCACTGAACCCACAACAATAACTTAAAAAAAAAAAAAAAAAGAATATTGTCATGATACACTATGTTCCTCATAAACATAGCTCTTTTTCCTTACAATCATACTTTGTCCTGTTTAGGTAAGGAAGCACACTGCTAACCTAACAGTTGGTGCCTCAAATCCCCCCAGTGGTACCACAGAAGAAAAGGCCTGTCAGTCTGCCAATCTGCTTCATTAATATTACAAACAACAACAAAAATTGTCCAGTTGATTCCAAGGAATGGTGATCCCTTGTGTTACAGAGTAAAACAACAAACAGGGTTTTCTTGGTTGCAATCTTTACAGAAGCATGTCACCAGTTGCTGTTGTCAAGTGCCATCGAGCCAGGTCCAACCCATAGCGACCCTGTATAGGGTTTCCTAGGAGCAGCTGGTGAGCTTGAACCACCAACCTTGCAGTTCAAATGGCTTTGCAGTCTGGCGCATTAACCCACACTGCCAGGACTCCAAGTGGGCGGGCTCAAATCGCCAATGGTTCTCTAGCAGCTAATGGAAAACTGTGAATCACCCAGAGATTTCCACTAAGATTTCATTCAAGAAAAACCCTACAGAGCAGGTCTACTCTGTAATGCATGGGGTTGCCATAAGTCAGAATCAATTCAGTGAGAACTAACAAGTTTTTCTGTGTAAATTTTAGCTAAAAGATAACCTTTAGCTAACCAGAACTTAGTCTTTTTATGACTTCTGAACATGGTTGTACTACAAATAAATGCTTTCAACAACTAAAGGAATAATTTTAAAATAATGTATTGACCAATGAAAATGTGTCCTTTATTTGCATTTTCTGGAGTCTCTCATTAATTAAGTACTATTTTCTTGATGAGGCCACTTTTTCTTATTTTTACATTTACATACATTGTCACCCTCGCTTCTCAGCTTCCAGAATGGATGAATATAAAACCAAGACCCTTCATTGCCTGCAGCATCCAAGGATACCCTCATGGCATTCTTCTCAAGTAAAGCAGGTAATCTCTTGTTGACAGTCAGGTATTTGTTGCTTTTTATATGCAGTAGCTGTAGGGAAGAGACATGGATTATCACCTTTATCTCATCTGTTAACCACATTTATTTATACATGCATCATGTGCTTATACATACAGCATGTACCCACATAACAAAGCTCTTTGAAGTGGAGATTAGACCAAGGAGTTGTTTTCATACCATTCACTATTTTAGTAAATTGTCTACTATGTTCTGTCTTTAGCTTCCTCCTTGACTTCACTCCCTACACCTCTTCACAGTGAATGGGAGCACATGATAAAAACAAAACAGGGACACTTCTGAATGATTTGCATCTACTGTTAAATAATAGAACCATGCCAGGTTTTTCAAAGGAGACCTGGAGGTTCTCCTTTCCTACACAGTTACAAACACAGATTAACTGAAGAAAAACACAGAGGTTGAGATAAAGTGCCAGCTGACTTGGAATTATTAATCATGCCCAATCTACATGTGTGCCCAAATTCCTCCTCCAAGAGAAGGCAGACTGGCCTTCACTTTCAGTGTGAATCCTACAAAGACTGGGCAACTTCACAAGAGGATGCCAATCTTTCCCCCATCTCAGATAAGAGTGGTTGTTGTTTGTGTTAAGTACCATCCAGTCAGTTCTGACCCATGATGACCCTGTACAAGGATTTCAAGGAGCAGCTGGTTTACTTGAACCACCGACCTTGCGGTTCAAACTGACTTGGCAGTCCAGTGCATTAACCCCACAGCACCACACCAGGACTCCTCAGATGAGGGTAGAAGGCCCTTCTCAGAGTGTCTGGAGTTCACAGACCAGATTATTTCCGAATGCGGTTTGTTTGTTTTTCCAGTTGTCATCGAGTTGATTCTGACTCATTATAATTTAAGGTGGGTCTGAATAGAACTGTGCTCCACAGAATTTTCAACAATTGACTTTTATGATAAATTGCCAGTCCTTTCTTTGAAGTCATCTCTGTTTGGACTCATACAGCCAAACTTTAGTTAGTTAGCCACTCATTATGTTAACTGTTTACACCACCCAGAGACTTCATCTCCAAAACTACAGGAGATCACTATAGTGCTGACAACTTTTTATTCAACTGAGTAAGGAAAACCAAAACAAGACATTCCTCTTATCATCAAAATCACTTTAAAAAAGGAAGATCTTTTGAATACCCAAAATACCAAAAGATAGTTATCTCAGGCTGAAAGGCAGTCCTTTCATTGAAAAATAAAATCATCTTTTGTAACATCTCATAATTATATCCTTGGCTCCCCTTTTACCAAAGACCAATTGGAACTCTCATAATTGACCCCAGATCTTTGGTATCTACCAAGTTAGAGCTCCTGCCCAAGCCCCTAAATGACCACATAGGTTTCTTTCAGGCAGCTGACAAGGAACATTAGTGCTACTTGCTGCCACTTAATACCAATCAACAGTTAATGACAGAACAATAGTTACAGAAGACTGACCAAATGACAGAGGTTTCAGGGTGCAGCCATCAAAGTGTTCAACTGCTAACCAACAATAGTGGTGTGAACTCACCAGCCACTCCTCGAGAATAAGATGTGGTAGTTGACTTCCATAAAGTTTTATGGAATGATCCTTAATGTAATGATCCTGTTTATTGTTGTTGTTAAGTGACATGGAGTCAGTTCCGACCCATAGTGACCCTGTACAAGGGTTTTAGAGGCTGTAAATCTTTATGGGAGCAGAAAGCCTCATCTTTCTTCTGCAGAGCAGCTGGTAGTTTCGAACTGCTGACCTTAAGGTTCGCAGCCCGATTCGTAACCACTGCGCTACCAGAGCTCCTTACATCCTTGGAAACCCTGTAGGGTAGTTCTACTCTGTACTATAGGGACAACCTGTACTACATGAGGTGGAAACAATTCAGTAACAGTGGTTTGGGTTGGGTTTGGCCCAAGGGACATGCGGCCTACCCATGGTGCGGGCACTATAGTGTCTGTCATTACATATACTCGGGGGATGCAAGCTCTGGCCTTTTCTTCTTGTCCCATCAGAGAACTGCTTTGACTGTTCTGTGCTCTGGCATTTTTCCATTGCCCTATGACAAAACATCAGGGGATATTATTCTTAAAAACAGCTCTATGAAAAACCTTATAGTAATGTGTATTGCAAGAAGTTGTTACAGCTATTGTTCACTATTTATAAAAGTGGCCTCTTTATGAGAGTGGATAGGAGAAACATTTCTCTGGTCTTATTCCTGGTAACAACTGTGCTTCTAGACCTCAGACTTCTTGTTGTTCAGTGCTGTAGTTAGTTTCTACTGATAGCAACTCTGTAGAGGGTTTACAAGAAGTAACTGGTGGGTTTGAACCACTAACCTTGGGGTTAGTAGCCCAGTTCTTATCCTACAGCATCACATTATGACTCCAACTTCTGACTTAGTACTACAGACTTCTGGTGTGGCCCTGTGGGTTAATGCGTTGGACTGCAAAGTCGGTTTGAACTGCAAGGTCAGTAGTTCAAGCTCACCAATCGCTCCTCGGAAATCCTATCCAGGGACAGAACTGACTCAACAGCACTTAACAACAACAACAAGGACATCATAGGTGGGTGCTATAACATCTTATGCTTCCCTTATGGCTAAACGGGCAACGAAAAGACTTCCAGAAGAGTTAACTGAACTTTGCCGCATGGATTATTGTGTAAATGAATGCCTCACCTTATTCAGCCAACTATCACTTTCTTCTTGACCCATCTGTCTTACTTATTTACTTCTTTCTCATTTTGTTAGGTGGTAATGCATTTTTGAAGATGCCTTACATTCTTTTTGGAACAAGATGGGGCATATATTAACAAATAACGATAGAAAAAGCTAAAATAATCAAATGAAGCACAAGAAAGGAATGTAGATAAGATAAATCAGTGTGCATACTAACTGAAATAGCAGTAACAACTCAAGTATAAATTTTAACTAAAAGTACAATTTGAAACTTTCTGATCTCTATAACATGAAAAGATAAAGCTCCTTTGTTACAAATTAGTCCCACTAATTCTAAAGGGCTATTTTATTACAGTCCTTTAGAAATTATGTTTCCTCATCCTCTGTCTCTTGATGTAGTAACAATGTATGTGCTAACATCCAGATCAATTATTTCTATGTACACACTAGACTTATTCCAAATATAAAAAAAAATATAATGAGCATCAACTGAAAATGTCACCATATTAGTAATTCTGACCAAATAAGAAACTATTGTATCTTAAAATTTCAAGCAAGTTTAGCATTCATACTAAATGTAAATTGCCCATAAAATGTTCACCTCTTTTAAGAAAACATAAATATTTTAGAGACTTACTTGAATAACATTACTATACTTGACAATTTCTCCCAGCAGTTTCTTATTCTCTGATTCATTTTGTTTTTGTTCCAGTTCTGCAGCATGCTATAAAATAATTATTAAATCTTCAGTGTAGACACAGTAAACAGAGTTCAGTAACTGATAAGTATATAAGCATTTTTTAACAGCTATGTATACCATGTACTATTTCAGTAGCAAAGAAAAATCGCATGAATTAAAATAGGATAGTTGCTTTACTCTTGATGCTTTGGGAGAGATACGGCACATACTTAAATAAATGATTATAACATAGTATGATAATTATTTCAATTTAGAATACAGCTTCAATGTCTTGAGCCACTCAGATGTCTGAAATTTCAGAAAAGCACTAGGTCCTTTGGTCTTATAAAATTACTGTAACAAGAAATATTGCTAGAAAAACCAACCAGGATGATGTGAATTTCAATGTCTCAAAGTACAGTTTCAATTCTGAAAATAACAGGAATTTTAATGACATGTAAAATCAAGTTCTTTTAAATTTACACTTGGCCAAACCAGAAACAACAGATTTTATTTTCTTTCCATAGTCTTTCAGGAAACAAAAACAAAAAATTTAAGAACTACATCAAGTAAAATATGATTGGATTTTCTATTCCAACAGTTTCTGAGTTGGCTTTCACTTCCATGTGAAGCCTTGAATTACTTCGGCACACCCTAAAAATAGCAGAAAGACTATGTGCCCTTCATGCCAGGAAATAAATGGCCACACCCACTAACATAAATATGTCTTCCATTTTCAATGTGTTCTATATCTAACATAACTCTCCATGTATTGGGTAAAATTACAAAGCTAAAAGTTAGAAATCAATGACTGCTATTCTAAGGTCAGCCTAACCCAAGTAAATGAAAGCTCTGCCTTTACCTGTAATTTCTTCAGTAAGGCTGCTTCTGTGTGGTTCCCTTGTTTGGCTTGCTTGGCTTTCCAATATTGCTTCTGGGCAGAATACCGGTTCATAGGGCACACCTTGAAAAGGCAGTCTATGACAAATCAACAAAACAAAAACACTGTAACTAAGGATACAAGCATCTCTTAGATCACCCTTAAAGTTGTATTGTTGTTGCTGTTAAGTTACATACACCAAGTCAGTTCCAAGTGATAGCAATGCTATATAGGGTTTCTGAGGAGAAGTTGGGGCATTTGAATTGCCGACCTTGCAGTTAACAGTACAGTGTTTATCCTACAGCACCACACCAGGACTCCCCCCTTACATCCTGTTGGTGGTGACAAGAGCAGAAAACCTTATCTTTCTCCTGCAGAATTGTTAGTAGATTTGAACTGCTGACCTTTTGGTTAGCAGCCCAACTCATAAGCCACTACACTACCAGAGCTTCTTAGTGTCATCAAGTAGGATCGAACTCATAGCAATGTTGGAAGAAGCACAGCCACAATGTTCCTTGGAAGCCAGGATGACCAGACTTCATCTCTCATACCTCAAACATATTATCAGGAAGGGACCAGTCCCTGGAAGGATATCATACTTGGTAAAGTGAAGAGTCAGAGAACAAGAGGAAGACCCCCAATGAGATGTATTGGCACAGTGGCAGCAGCAATGGGCTCAAGTTCAACAACGATTTTGAGAATGGTGTAGAACTGGACAGTGTTTCATTCTGTTCTGCATAAGATCACTATGGGTCAGAACTGACGCAATAGCACCTTCAACATATCCCACCTGAATTTAGAGATTATCTCAAGAACAGATTTGATGCATCAGATACTAATGACTGAAGACCAGAAGAGTTGTGGGATGGTATCAAGAACATCATACAAGAAGAAAACAAACAGTCATTAAGAAGACAAGAAAGAAGGAAAAGATCAAAATGAAGCTCAGAAGAGACTCTGAAACTTGTTCTCCAGTGTTGTTGTTGTTGTTGTTAACTGCCGTCAAGTCAGTTCCAACCCATTAGCAACCCTGTATAGAGTTTCCGAGGAACTTCTGGTGAGCTTGAACCGCCGACCTTGCAGTTCAAATGGCTTTGCAGTCTGGCACATTAACCCACAGCGATACATGCTAAAACAATTGCAAGAACTGAGGAAGCAAAAGAACTGAACAGAAGATCTCAAAGGGCAGCATGAGAAGACAAAGTGAAGTGTGATAACGAAAGGTGTTGGACCTAGAGTTAGAAAACCAAAAGGGAAGAACATACTTAGCATTTCTCAAGATGAAAGAACTAAAGAAAAAATCCAAATCTTGACTTCAAGTATTGAAGGATTCTATGAGGAAGATATTGAAATGATGCAGAAAACATCCAAAGAAGATGGAAGGAATAGACAGAGTCACTGTAATAAAAAGAAATGGACAATATTCAACCATAGAAGAATTGATGCATTTGAATTACACTGTTGGAGAAAAGTATTGAGGTACCATGGACTGACAGAAGAACAAACAATTCTGTGTTGGTAGAAGTACAGCCAGACTGCTCTTTAGAAGCCAGGATAGACAGATTTCATATCTCATGCTTCGGACATATCAGAAAGAACTAGTCCCTAGAGAAGGAGATCATGCCAGGTAAAGTGGAGTCAGTGAGAAAGAGGAAGACCTCAAACAAGATGGACTGGCACAGTGGTAGCAGCAATGGACTCAAGCTTAACAATGACTGTAAGGATGGCAAAGGACCAGGCAGTGCTTCTGTCTGTTATGCATAAGGTTGCTATGAGTCAGAATCAACCTGATAACACCTAACAAGAACAGAGAGTTTATATATATGAGGAAGCTTCAAAAAGTTCATGGAAAAACAGCACTGAAAGATAATGGCATTCTTTCCATGAACTTTCTGAAGCCCTCTCATATTAGCAAACACAAATTTTTAGTGAACAAATATAGAGGTTGTTCAGAGATACCACTGAAAATGTGCTCCCAGTCTCTTGCAGCTGACTCTTTATCAGAAAAGTGGCCAGATTCTACTTTGTTTTAGTGTTCAAATAAAACTGAGCTCTATGTAATTGTCAGTCTATACTTCTGACTTTTACTTATGTAAAGAAACCAAAAGGGTAAAAGTTGCTCCTCCCCATTACGACAAATTCCTAATAAAGCTCATTTCCTTAGTGAAGTAGAAATGAAGTGTTCTTTGATGGAGAAAAGACATTTCTAAATTCTAGACATCCCTATCAAAGACAATACTAGCTAGGCAGCAAACTGTGTTGTACCCAAACTCCATCATTGTGACTAAGGTCATTTATGAAGTGAGGCAAACACACCGCCAACCCACGTTTACTGTAACTCCCTACCGGGGCCCAGACCATGTGCTGCTAGCTGTCCTCAGAAAGTTCACAGTCTAGTGGGTGAAAGAGGCACCTACTATGAGTTGGGTGGAAGGTGGTATAGGACATAAAGAAGCACTGGTCAGCTTCACCAGGAGAGGTCTGAAGAGGCTTCCCAAAGGAGAAGACACACAACAAATTTTTAAAAAATCAATACTAACTCAACACTTGGGCGTGGGAGTTCAAATATTCAAAGAGGAGGAGCATTTGAAACAGAGCCAGCAGCTGGTGCAAAGGCAGAGAAGGAGAATGCTAAGGGATTACTAACCACTCCTACTTCCAGTGCTGAGATAACAATGCAGTGTTTGACTGAGCCTGAATCTGCTGTGTTATTATGTGTTAAGGAGTTGGTTCCAATTCATAGTTTCTGAAGCTGTAGTAAGTAAATCATTGGGGGAGCAGAGAGCCTCATCTTTCTCCTGTAGAGGGACTAGTGGGATCGAACCACGGGCCTTGCAGATGGAAGTCCAATGCTTATCATATGAAGACATACATTTAAAAGAAAGCATCAGAAGCAACTGATTTACTAATCTGTTAAATACTGAGGAGAGAAAGGAAAAGTGACCCACTCTCCCTGTCTGAGATATAAAGCCTGGCATTTCACAAACCCTTTTCATTTTCAGGGGTTTGGGTTTTGTTAGTTTCTTCTGTTTTTTCAAAACTTTTAATTGTGACTTGAGTGAAGGTTTACTGAGTAGATCACCAGTTTTACATTCAACAAATCATATACTTTGTTTCATTTCAATGATTACAATCTCCTCCATGTAATATCAGTTATCCCACTTCCTCCCTGTGATTCCTGTATCTATTCAAACTTGTTTTTTTCCCTTAGGTACCTGCTGCCCTATTCATCTTGAATAGTTGGCCAACCCATGGTGTACCTACCTCACTAACGCTGATGTCTCCCTTTACCTAGCTAAGGTTTGCCTGAAAGTTGACGCATACGTGTGAGTTCAGTTTCAGACCCTTAGGATAATCAAGGACCATAGGCGTGGTCTCTTTCTCACCAGGAAACCTGCTCTTTTCTTTTTTTTTATCAGTTTGAATTTTGCTCCACGTTTTCTCTCACTCTATCCAGGACCTTCCAAGGTTATTCCTATGAAAACAGTGGCAGTGGGTAGCCAGTGTCATGAAGACTGGTGCTTATGTGTTCCATTAGTCAGTTGAACTAATTAATTCCAAGTATCTTCAATTCTTATCACTCTTTTTCCTTCCCCACGCACATGGAGAGACCAACAGTTGTAACTTAAATGGCCACTTACGAGCTTTTAAGATTCCAGTCCCTATTCACCAAAGTAGGATGTAGAGCATTTGTTTTTGTGGACTGTGTTATTCTAATTGACTATAATGTCCCCCAGGCCAAGCAATTCATTCCCTCAAGGTGTTTGATAAGGTCTAAGTTGTTTTCATATCCTTGTCCTGAAGGCTTGGTTTTTATGGTCCTTTCTTCAGTGACCTCCCACAGGTGACATCTCATTTCATAGTACAGTAAATACCTGATATCTGTTTCAGTGTGGGAACTAACATCCCAAAACTATTTTGACAGATCGGAGAGAACACAGGGCGTACACAGTCAGCTGTAAAAACGCTGCTGCTGTTGATGGTGGGTTTACATAGGTGTATGTGTTTTCAATTCTTTGTCTCCTTTAATACACATTAAAAATGTATATACTGGTGCTGAGCTAGTCATATATTTTGTCTGATTCTAAGTGTACTGCATAATAAAAATGTTAATCAGACCTACCACACCTAACTCACAGGGCTGCTTAGATGTATAAAAATGATAATCTGTGTGAAGGCATTCTGTGAACTATAAAGCCCTATTATAAATGTAAGGCATTACTACTAAGATTGCTTCATTCTTTCAACAATAGCTTCACTAAGATCAGGAGATGACTAAGCCCTAACAAAACTCTCAGCAAAGAGAAACAAAAAGCAGGGTTCTCTGGTTAAAACTGAGTGTACATTAAATATGCCCAGTTATTGACAAAATGTTTGCCTCTTTTGGTTTGAGCTGCACCAATGAAAACTTTTGCATATAATTCTCAAAAACAGCGTGGTGGTGGGGATTATGTGCTTTCAAGTACTTTCTGGCTCACAGCGACTCTGTATAGGGTTTCTGAAGTTGTAAATCTTTACAGGAGCAGAAAGCCTCATCTTTTGCCCACCAAGCAGCTGGAGGATTTGAACTGCTGACCTTGAGGTTAGCAGCCCAACTCATAGCCCACTACACTACCAAGACTCCTTCCAAAATCAAAATTGTTGTTAAAGTGTCGTTCAGTCAGTTCTGACTCATGGTGACCTTGTATAGGGTTTCCAAGGTGCAGCTGGTGGCTTTGAGCTGCTGATCTTGCGGTTCGCAACCCAGTATTTATCCTACAGTGCCATATCAGGAGCGGACAAAATGTTTTCTATTACCTTGTAAAATCTTTTAGAGCATCCAAATACAATTACTAGCCTAGCATGGGTGGAGCCTTTGACAAGCCTCCTGCTCTCCTTTAGCATGCAGGAACTTAGCTGTTTCACACTTTCATCTGTGCACATCACCCTGCTTAAAACCAGCTCCAGGGGTGTCTGCTCATTCTTTAAAATTTTAAATGTGTACAAGGTTTTAGGAGATTCTCCAATGAGAAATTGATTTAGCATGATTTTTTTAAATTAGATAACTACCCTGTCTTCAGCATTTCAAGATTCAAACGAAAAAGAAAAGAAAAGGTTT